ATAAAAAAAACCAAGGATAGAAGGAATACGACCTTGACTTTACATGAATACATACATTGATATTCACATTTTATTATGAATACATGGTTCATTTGCTTTGCTATGTTTTCAATTATCTTTCTTCGCTTTGAAATTCGACTTGACAGGTTCGCTTGCCTGGTGTGTGTGTGTGATTATCTGGGTGTATCTGAAGCAGACATTATAGTATAGGAGCTAGCAACGTTTTCGAGAAAGAATTTCAGGTCAGCTGATTTTTTAATATGTTGTCCTTCTTCCTCTTTTGGGTAGAGCCTAGGCTATCTGGCTGGCGGTAGCGGTTGCGTTCATTGGTGCGCATCCTACCTGTACAGGTAATAATCCAAGGTTTTGAAAGTATTTCAAGAAGCTAAATTTTTAATTTCTTATCTTTAGATAGGTTTACCAAACACTATTTTTTTATTGCCAGACACTTTTATCATTGCCAATGATATATATGCCATACGCGATCTTTTTTTTTTTTTTTAAATTTCAAATCATTATAGTACGTCTGTCATTTTAATATTACATTATTTGAATATATAAAAACCTAAAATTAATTTGCCAAACATTAATTCGATTGCTAAACCTTGAAACATCTTAATTTTATGTATTTAAGAAAAAGTTGAAAATATGTTCCAGTTGCTCGGACGGGTATCAAATTGCAAGTAATGCTAGTTTATATCAGAATTAGGATAAAAAAAGATAAAAACCCAGAAAACCATTTAATTTTGGCTGATTTTGGGATAAAAAGGCCAAAACAAGTCAAATTTTAACCGAAAACTATCCAAATAGAAGAGATTCCGTGATGGATGTTTGGTGGTGGTGGCACGACCCTATGTGTGTGAGTGTGTGTGTGTGTGTGTGTATGTGTGTATGCGCTTGGGGGGAGGGGTCGAGGAGGATAGAGGGTACGCTCGCGCGCAGCACGTTTCTGGAAAGTTACGCGTATTTTTTTGTCTAGACAAAAGACAATAAATTTATTTATTCGTTTGGAAACAATTCAATAATAATTTTGAAAAAGAAAACATTTTCTCAGTCCTGACATTTGGTATGTTCACCTGTAACGATAAAAGGATTTAATGCGATTTCATGGTTAGGTAAATGAAAATATGTACACTTTTAAAAATCTTACCGTCACTTAAGCAGGTGGGTCGTCTACATTGGCAGTATTCTGTTGTAACGACGGTGTAACTACATTATGGACACGCACAACGCGAATCTTACCGTACCTGTCGCGTTGGTCGTCCCTGCACTGTGGGCACGCATGCCCGCTCACACAAACTGACACGCGGGCGCTCTCGCACACACACACACGCACACCTACACACACACACACACACACGTACGCACCTACACACACACACACACACGCACACACACACAGTCCTGCCACCACCACCATCAAACATTCATCACGGGTACTTTTATATTTTGATAGTTTTCGGTTAAAATTTGACTTGTTTTGGCCTTTTTATACCAAAATTGGCCAAAATTGAATGATTTTCTGGGCTATTTGTCTTTTTTTATCCTAATTCTGATATAAACTAGCATTACTTGCAATTTGAAACCCGTCCGAGCGACCGGAACGTATTCTCAATTTTCACTTAAATACATAAAATTAAGTAAATGTTTCACAGGGTACGACGAAAATGCCAATGCGGGGATTTTTGGGGAACTTTGATATGTTGTAAAGGGAGGTCTAATGAGTCGAAAACCGTTGAGAAAAAGTGTGAGCGATTTTTTTCCAGCTTTGGGCAGTTTTTGAGCTATCTTTCCTGGACTATTAAGAAATCCACACAGCGTCGTGATAGTAGTTAGAGAGAGACAGACAGTGACGTTGGCGCAGCCGCCAAATTTTCAAGATGGCGTCAGTCTAAAGGCCCACGTTTGTGTTTATGTCGTGTCTCACTGTTTGTTTAGCATCGAAGAAAATGGTGAAGGTCTACGAAACCAGTTTATCAATGAATGTGCCGAGGATGAGAGTAGATTTGATAAGCCGATTAAAAAAAATCGAGTTTTAAATTTTACTGAAGCTCCAAAGAAAAAGAAGTTAGCTCTCGGGAATAAAGTTGTTGAACTGCGCATGCAAAGAGATTTATTTGGTCGAATGTTGGGAATTTCCCTTACTCACAAGGTTGACATTGAAAAAGTTTTGTCATTCCCACTTACTCCGATGCCAACGTCTATGTGTCATCCAGATGGTTCAATTTGTAAAACCGACAAAGCACAATTAACAAAATTGATGGAGAAGAAATTGGAAACTGCGATCGATCAACAGCCGTCATCTTTTGACATTAGTATCGTTGATGGTTTTTTTATGTTGCATCTCATGAAAGAGATACCACAAACTTTTGATGGAATCGCTAAAAAGTTTCTTTCTGCGATCTCCCAAATGAAATCAGTTCGGATCGATGTGATTTTTGACCAATACTTTTCATCATCAATTAAGGATTTTGAACGTTCACGTCGAGAAGAGTCAACCATTCCAGTATCTATCGGTCCTAATCAAATTCGGCCACACAATTTCGGAGCAGAACTTAAAAACATGGAATTTAAAATAGCTCTAGTTAACTTTTTTATTGATCACTGGGATAGTGAAGACATGGTACCTTTTATTGGTAATAAAATTATTTATGTAAGTTTCAACAAATGTTATTCGTATAAAGTCTTGAATAACAAAGTTGTACGGAGTATCGAAGAATCTCTATCATGTGAAGAACACGAAGAAGCTGATTCTCGCATTATTTATCATATATGTCAAATTGATTTCGATGCCGACGTTGTTATACGCTGTTCTGACTCCGATATTTTAATTATATTACTGGGTAATATGGATCACCTCAATGCATTTTTGAAGATTTGGATTAACATCGGTGTAGGCAATCATCAGCGATACGTAAACGTTAATGAATTATACCGAATCCTTGGTGATTCTCTATCAAAAGCTTTACCATGCTTCCACGCAATCACGGGGTGCGATTACACGCCAGCATTCTTTAGAAAAGGTAAAGTTAGACCTTTTAAAATTTTGGAACAATCTAAAGAATATCAATCAGCGTTTGGAAACATAACTACGGATAACGAAGATTTACTTGACAGTACTTTTGTAATCCTTGAGAAGTTTGTTTGTCAAATGTATGGAGTTAAAAATTCTTCAGATGTGAATAGTGTTCGATTTCATTTATTCTCAAATACTTTTCAATCAAAAAAATCCGATGAAAATTTTGAGAAGAAATTTCGAAACTTTGACTCATCGAGTTTGCCACCCTGTAAAGCGGAATTGCAACAGCATTTATTGAGAGTGCGCTACGTGACTAAACTTTGGAGGAATGCTCACTTGAAACATCCAACTTCTTTATCTCCAGTTGCTTCCGGTTGGACCATCAAAGATAATAAATATGATTTTGTCTGGTTCCTGGGAGAGCAGTTACCATCATCAATTGCTGATATTATTATTCAAAGTAAGTATGCAATAGAATATCTATCAATAATCAGTAAAATATCATATAAGAAACGACAAAAACTGTACTATATTAACTTTTTTTTGTTACAGATGAGAGAGTTTTAAGAAATGATGACAATGACCAAGACGATGATTTCAATACTTCTAGCAATGAGAGCGACGATGATGACGATTGTGAAGATGCATCCTTCGTTTGTAATACGATTATGGAATGAAATATTTAAAAACTAAAGAAGAATTCTTAATATTTTTAATTTGTTATTTATGTGTGTTACCTGAGCATTATAAATAAAAAATTTAATTTTTAAACCTTCAATAATGCATTTTAATTTTTTCGTTTTTGACTAGAATATATTCTAATATAATTTTCTTCATATTTCATTTTTTCCATCAAGATTTGTAGTTTTGTAATGATTTTCCGTCTTCTTCTCGGCAGTACATCTTACAACTATCTCTCTCTAACTACTAGCACGACGCTGTGTGGATTTCTCAGGTTTGTCGTTCTTTTTCAAGGTTTAGCAATCGAATTAATGTTTGGCAAATTAATTTTAGGTTTTTATATATTCAAATAATGTAATATTAAAATGACAGAGGTACTATAATGATTTGAAATTTAAAAAAAAAAAAAAAGATCGCGTATGGCATATCATTGGCAATGATAAAAGTGTCTGGCAATAAAAAAATAGTGTTTGGTAAACCTATCTAAAGATAAGAAATTAAAAATTTAGCTTCTTGAAATACTTTCAAAACCTTGGATTATTACCTGTACAGGTAGGATGCGCACTAATGAACGCAACCGCTACCGCCAGCCAGATAGCCTAGGCTCTACCCAAAAGAGGAAGAAGGATAACATATCAAAAAATCAGCTGACCTGAAATTGTTGTTTTCCCGACGTTACTAGCTCCCGGACTATTAGATGTTTCTATGACGATACTTCACAACATTCAGTGGATATCTGTTGGGTATATTAAATACATAACATCAGTCTTGTAATACCCAGTGAATACTCACCGTGATTATCTAGTAGACAGCTGAATGAACAACGAAATTAGAGACATACCGGCCACTATGAGGAGCCGGCGAATAGGCTGCTTAAATGTTGAGTATAGCCCTGAGTCCTAGCTCCTTGATATTCTGAGAATCCAAAGTGTTGGAACCCAGTATAGTCTGCCTGTACAGTTCAGAGCCTCACAGCGACACAACATGTGCCGAGAGCTTTTCCTTTACCCCACACCGCTCACACATGGGATCCTCAGCCACCCCCATCACATGCCGGTGGCGCCTTAATGTGTTATGGCCAGACGACAGTCCCATCAACAACCTTAGGTTGGCTCTATTCAAAAATAAGCAAAAGCACTGGGCCCTACGATGAGCTCCCTTGCCACCTTGGCTGACGGAGATGTCTAAAGATACTTCTCCATTTTAGAGTATTGTTAATAGACAACTACTGGATGTATGTATGTATACTCTCTGGGAAGACTTTACCCAACCTCCTGATAAGAATATTCTTAGAATGTCTGAAGATCTCAGAACATATTTCCATTGGATATGCTGTAGGACTTTCCTACCCGTCGCCTACACCTAAATTTAGTTTTGAGTTGGACCAGTCGGAAATTCGGTGCTAATGTCGAGGGACGAGTCTCCCCTCATCGAATGCAGACAAACGACTAAATACTAGAAACGCAAGATATCCTGTCCAGACCAAATGAAACCTCCTTTTGATGTACCGACCAAGGAGCGAACGCAATCGAACGCCAACGCCGACCTTGGAAACCGTTGGCTTATGTTGGCTCTCGCCGAACAGACCGATTCAATCACCTCCAAATCGAGGTATTCAAGGTATTGGAATTCGCCCGTCTACTCATCGTCTACACCTAAATTTAGTTTCGAGGTGGACCGCGTTGGGTTAGGTTCGGTGCTAATGTCGAGCGACTAAATACCAGAAGCACAACAAATCCTGTCCAGACCAAATCAAACCTCCCTTTGATGTACCGATCAAGGAGGGAACGCCAACACCGACATTGGAAACCGTTGGCTTATGTTGGCTCGCGGCGTACACACCGATTCGAACACCTCCATATCTGTAACCACATGTGCCTTAGCTTGTGTTGGAATCTCGGTCTGTACGCGGCTTTAGAACATGCAAGCAAATCATTTTGTTTGCGGGGCAGTACTAAATTTCGATCTGAAACTCTAAGTTATGATAGAAATCTAGAATGTTGCTGAAAGTTTGTAATCGCATGTTCGTTCACCTGTATTTTCATTTTTTCCCTCAAAAATAGCTAAATTTCTCCAAAACATTCTCTTTTTTATTATTTTCGTTGCAACATTTTCAGTTTCCCCTATGCGATTTATTACTACGTTCCAACAGATGGTTCGAAGCATTCTCTTGTAACTATGGATTGGGGAGATGGGTATGGGTATATATACAGCAGTTAGAGGTTTTAAACACCAAACATATATTCTCAAACATATTATACATATAGATCTAAACGTATATTATACATACAGGAGTAGTCTACAAAATATACTTCCTTCACAACCTGGCTTTTAAACTTTCATCGTAGCAAACATTAATTATGTTGTAATATATCAAAAACTACGAGCAATATCAGTAGATTTTGAGACCACAGCTGTGCAAGGGATTAATAAACATTTATCAAAATATCTAGTCAAGGGACAGTGATGGTGATATGAATAATTTTGTGCTTACCCTGGTAGAATAATTAGACAATATAGATACGTATAGTTTACGACAGACGTATAGTGTCTACATTTTTTATCGACGGTCGTTACGAAGCCGAGAATGCGGCTTTTCTGTAGTAGGTAGGGACTAGCAGCTTTGAGTAGATCAATTTATAGGATAGTCAAATTATGTGTATTTGTTGCTATAATAGCATGGAAATAATGCGATTTATTTAGATTCGCAACACTCAAAGCAATTATATGGAATTATTAGGGTTTTTTACGTTATTGCACCTTACTCGAATGTATAATTTATAAGTCTATCATGAACTATAACAAGATACCAACTTTAAAGTGACTCAGTTTTGAGACCGATTATACAAAAATGATTTTTTGATTTTATATCACACAACTTCAGTCCAGTCCACGATATAGATCATGAAACGAATGTTGGATGGTGCACAGTTCAAAGTCCATCGATCCACCAGTCAATTGCAGAATTACTTGATCAATCTGATCACAGTTGTGGAGTGAACTAACGTCAAATTGAACATTTTACGTTCCTATAGTATTAGTGGTCAAATACCAAATAACGATCGTTAGGGATCTCTTGATTTTAGTTGGTAATTTAGTTAGAAAAGCTGTACTTTGTGGTATTCGACCTTTGCTGTGAACTATTACATCAAATTTCTCTTATGTAAGAATTTTTTTCTGTATCAAGCGAGTCAAGTAATTAATCTTACTTACTCTCAGGAAAAGGTAGGCTCGCAACTTGAAGTTATGTCAAACACCGAAAAATACAATTAAAAAACATCTTTCTATATATTTTATTTTTTCGTGCTTAGAAATGGTCACGCACTTGATATATGATAACTCGGTTCTAGCTTGACACGCTTGGTATTATCTGTTGTAGATATAATGAATATATGCTTTTATCATTCAGGACTGTGGGTTGGGTTCTACCACAATTCTACAGATACATTTTTTGTATATACAGTCACAGAAATGGGTGGTAAAATACATTTTCAACGTCGAATGAAGTATTCAAAATCTACTGGACAGTTTCACTCTTATCCTCATATTTCCATTTGGTCCTAAATCACACGCGAAAAGACAGAGATTGTCTTTTTGAACAAACAAAGTCATATCAAAAATAATTTACACAGGAAATACTCTTATAAAAAATAATTCCAGAGATAAAAATAACTTTCTATATACGTATCTTATACAACCTATAATTGAAAATGTGGAGGATGGTATATATTTTACATGCCGAAATATGCATTCGCATCTAACTTACTCCACGTTAAAGCAAACAGCAGCCCGCGACTTTCAAATTCCCGTGTTCCTATTGGTCAATATTACCTATAATGAGTGCGATAGTTAGGAATAGCACATATGCCCTGTTTCACGAGTATCCATCACGCTCTGACGTCTACTGAGGTGAACAGCTGATCAGGAAGTGACACTTTTGTGCTAGTCTGCAACGTTGGCAATAATGAATCGGGTATAAATCTAGTAAAACTTGTTTATGGCGTTTTGTTTTTTGTATGCAAATGAACTTCTCTAAATAAAAGAACTATTAGCAAGTACAAAATGAATCTGTAGCGTACAAAAAAATCAAAACAAAATACGGCATTCACGGCTCCGTCAGAATTATGTGGCCTGTGCCGATATGGAGAATTTTTAAGTACTCGTATTACTAGATAACCAGCTGTCATTCTACCGTTATGGATACTCGTGAAATAGGGTACAGGCTACCTTTTTTTCCCGGGAAATAACTTTGAAGCATCCATTGCACAGCTTAATGGAATTTGACATGAGATGTCTGGCGTGGAAGCGGTCAGCGGTCCGACCGACCGAAATAAGTAAGGATATATGAATAAGGCATTTACGTCGTGCATTTTTTATTTTAAGTGCGAAAGTGTGTACGTTTATATGAATGTATATTCCGTTTACACGCCGAAACGGCTGGATCGATATTGACGAATTTCAGCATAGATATAGATTAGAGACCTTGGAGACGGACATAGGCTACCTTTTGTTGGGAAAATAAAACTTGAAAGACTTGGTATAGCGGGTCAAGGTTACTATGGGGAAACTATTATCCTTTCAGTTAGAGATACAAATGCGTTTTGTATATTTGTTTCTTTGATATAATGTAACTAGGCACTCACAAAGAAATTTTGGAACTTTCACCCCAAAGGGATGAAGTGGGGGGTAATGCTCTTGAGGCTGCAGAACCTAGAATATTTCAAATTAGGCCTACCTACAAGTATGTGTACGTGTATCTAAAATAAAAAGTAACGATGAAAAATTCCATAAATTATATCGTTAGGATGGGGTAGGAGTGGTTTGAATATTTCTATGGGGAACATTATCACTTTTCAATTTGAGTTTATAGAAATTTATCTCGAAAACTATTTGACCTATGAACACGAAATTTATCAGACACGTAGCTTATGGAAGTACACCTCAAAATATCTGCACCCGTTAATCAAGAAATCTCGAAAACTATTTATTCTATGGACATGAAATTTGTCAGACATGACATTTCAGCTAAGAACGAATTTTGCAACATACCTGGATTAAAGGGGATATAGGTATTCACAAGTATGTATCAAAGTCCTTTTTTTCTACTGGAGATAATTTGTTCGGGAGGTAGCTTCTAGACAGTATGGATTTTGCGACAGGGCCGTAAACATGATTTTTGGGATTCAATAGGAAGTCTTGGCAGAAACGAAAAAACTCTTCATATAAGATTTTTAGGTATATATGAGATCTACAAAATGCTGCTTACAAAGCTGATGTTGATACTCGCGAATGTATATGTGATTCCATAAGAACTCTTAACATTGTTTGACGTGGAGTAAATAAGGTTTAAATATCATTTAGATTGGAATTGGCTCAATTTTGGCATGCGGGTAACAGCAATCTTTGGAAAGAATATTCAATGCAACAGAAAATGCCTGGAATCTGGATAAAGGCAAAGCCCTTTTGATGACTAGCTAATTATTAAACTGTACAAGAATAGCGTAACAAATCGTACGCCACTGTTAACGCAGTATGTCCTTGAGTACGGCAAGGTCCGCACGCGCACAGAAACACACCACTTAACGCGACTCACACGATCACGAGGACCATCCCCTGGGGTAACTGGGGGATGAATAGGAAACGTCAGTGGGCTGGTCTTAGACGATCGTCGGCTCTACTTAAAAAAAAGGAAAGGATGACTGCGAGCGCGTACCTGGGTAAATTTCCTTAATAACAGAGTCGGATTTCTAATAATCCACATTATAAATATCCGAATTTATTCTTCCCTACTGTCGGCAGTTGCACATCTATCGGCTCTGGGTGTTAAACCTATAACGCAGGTACCGATTTGTTCAAGTCATGAGCACATTGTTCGTCGGATTTCCATCACTTAAATTTCCTGTAGCTTCTGGGATCAGAAGCTTCTTAATAATAGAACGGGTTTCACAAATCAAGGATGAAACATTTAACAACACTTTCGCCTAACTCCCAGTTTTTAATCACTACAATGTATGACTATGACTCAAACGTCAAAAGGAGTTTCAGCGATTGTTATAATTTTTCGTTTTTTTGCCTATAGCGCCGCCGCAACTGGACTGAAACTACAAAGATTTGTGAGGCAATTTCATAAAAAGCCGAGCGGTATTTTCCAACTTATATACGGGTGAAGGATTAGCAGACAGACAAACTCAGAGATATAGTTTTTGGTGATGTAGATGTCAAGATTTCAAGACCTAAAAAACATAACATCTCATTTTCGAAATTTTTCGCGCCACTGGCGTGCGAAGTAAAAAAATCTCGAAGTTCAACAAAAAAAGTAAGCATTTCAACCTACTACAAATCTTGTGCAAAAACAAACCTTCAAAAAGTGCTCCGATAGCACCCTGGACAATTGTCTTCTGAACATAATGTATGAATTTCATTAAAAAACATTGCAAAATGGAGTGCCAGTTTCGAAGCAGCTGAACCCTTGTAAATGGCTTGAAACTGACTGCGTCGGAGCCGCCTTAAGCAGAGACGTACGGTGAGTTATGCTACGCTTTTCCATTTTGGTATCGAAGGTCTATTTTTAGTAAGTAACTGTAAAGTATACATAATATGGTAGGGTCATGCATTTAGCTGAAACAATAAAAACTTTCCAAAAAAAGGCAAGCCTAAGATGGGTAACTGTTTTTCAAATGGTAAGGCATCAACCTGGATTCCTTTCCAAAGCTAGCTGCCTGTTTCGAACAGATAAGAGTTAGATCACAAAAAGTACCATTCAAACCTCTTCCATTACTATAAAGCATAATGCTTAGGAAAGATTATAACCACATACAGGTAAAGGTACGACATTAAAACGTATTTTCAGGTAACGTTATAGGTTGCCTATGCTGAACAAACTAGTTTCCAGATTTTTTTTTTATTGGCACTGAAAATGCGATGAATGGCATCTCAAGCAAACACATGTCATGAGTATAAATGACATCATTATACACTGTTCCATTTTAATGTCCCCATCTTAATATTTTGAAAAGTGTGCATTCTAGAGAAAAAAAGGTTCAGATGAAAGTTGTATGGTTGGGGTAAAATATCGATTACCTTGATAATGACATCGACTACGAACTTCGACGCCATTCCAAGGTCAAGCAAATATTTTTACATACAACCTCTCTTTTCTCATCGGAATGGAAAAGAGGAGCAAATGTTACGCCTAAACATCACCTTGATCATGGCTTGAGAATTACGTTCAAGGCCAATTCACAAGGACATCACCTAAAGGTGACCATGACCTTGATTACGACTTGCAAGGTCAAGTCAAATTTTCCAAGGAAAACCTCTCATTTTTATACCGGAAAAATAGGAACCTTTACGTCCGAAAGTGTCGTTGACCTAAATGTTATTTGAGGTCAAGATCACATTCGAATGTACAATTTGCTGCTTTTTCCATATTCACTATGAAAATAAAAATTTTGTACTTGAATTTGAAGGTGATGCTCAAGGTCACCTGATCCCTGATCCCCACCAGCCTCACATCTCTGCTGTCGATTTTTGCTATATCAGATTGTTTTCAATGTCTTTATTTGACCTTGAAATGGTCTGAACGGCAATGGTCAAGGTCATAGCCAAGGCAATGTTTGGGCGTAAAATTTACCACTCTTTTCAATTTTGATGTGAAAAAGGTACTTTTAAAAATATTCACTTGACCTTGAAAGGGCTTCAATTGTAGTAGTCAAGGTCACTGTCAAAGTCACTATTAGACTGCCACCCAAAACCCTACAATTTTTGTTTGAAACGTTTTTTTTTAGAATGTGCGGTTTTCGAAATAAATATGTGGGGAGATTAAAATGGGACAACGTGAATAGAAGGTGCCCACCTAACCGTATACGATAACCATCTTAAAAAAATGAATCCTTCCGAATTTCCAGGGGTATTGAGTAACATGCCTTACTTTAAAGGCGTATATTATAAACTTTCTTTCAAATAGACTATCTAAGATTTATACACATAAAAATTGAATTTGATTATGCACTTTTCATCAAATGAACTATACTTCGATCATTGAACAGTACAGAACAATACATTAGACATTTGGAGATTTTTTAAGTTATGAAAACAATTTTATCTGTTGATAGAAATATCTCAAAATCAACTCCTCAATTTAATATTAGGTGCGTGTCTTAGCTATTTAAAAACATTATATATATATCGAAATTTTGAACATAAAATTTATTGGGTTGTGCGTTCAAACCTGGAAACCATTAACCTGAAACACATACGTACAAGGGCAAGAGCCACATCCACAGGCAGGGGGTGACATAAAAACACTTAAATTTCATAATTTCTGAACTTGCTGACCACCTCTGAAGGTTGTCCCGGCTGCCAGTGAGGTCCGCCTCTTCCGCTCCAGTGTAAATTCGCTCCGCCTTCAGAAGCGCGTCTATGGGCAGCGCTTGGTGGCGCCGCCCCCAGAGAGGAAGGACCAGATGACTCCAGCATGCGGTCTTTGGTTTTCGGTGTGCTCCAGTGCATTGACTACAAATAATGGACAACTATTATTTCACCACTAACTAGAGAAATCAAAATTATTATTTCTTTTCATCCATTAGGTAAATAATGACAATAAAAAATACCTAGGTAAATAATAGTGATCTTGTTCCATAAACGTAGTGGTGAATGAGTGGTTATAATAAATTGTATATAGTATAACAAAAATAAATATTTGAACAGGTTATTAATTTTGAGCTATCCTAAATCTATGATTGGGCCAGTTACATGATCATATTTTTTAAGATTAATTGTCAAGCGGCAATAAGAATTTTGAATGTTTGGTAGTCTGTAGGTATTTGATAATAGCTTTTTTGTTTTGAAACTGAGGAAGTGCCTGTTATATAACAGTTAATATGCGTGTGAACATGTAGGTAAATTTTAAATCTGGGCTGCTTATTTTCAGGTGTAGGCTTGCTTTCAGATGTTCCCATTCTTCTCTTGCAAAAAAATACATTTGATTTTTTGAGGACTGAGTTTCATATTATTATAGCAGAATAGTTATTAATACTTTCGAGATCAATATTAATTTTAGCCTCAGCCATTTTAAATCATCAGAGGCAAAGCTCGACAATTATTGAGTATCATCGGCATAACAAGTTACACTCGAGTTTTTAATTACGACGATTAAGTCAAATTAAGGACAAGAGGGGCCATAGAATCGCATATGTTGCTGTTATTTTAAACTGTATTTTGTCAATTTCTTTTAGTCAATTTGACAGCGAAACTTTGTAGTTTGAAATATTTGAGAACTATTGAGAAGTAGCTAATGACAGCTGATCATTTAGCCATACTCTTTGATAATTCCACTACTTAGAATAATATTTTAGAATCGCTATTTTCGGTGCCTTAATTCAAAAAATATTGAACAGAATCATAGAAGCGGTGTTGCCTCGTCAACAGCTAAGGTGCTGGTTAACTACAGTTTGACGTCCAGGCTTCAGTTTAGTGCGTAAACTTGGAAGATAATTTTCTATTGAAAAACAGCATAAGATACTTTTGCGTTTGAAAGCGTTTCGAAATTGTTTAGTGCTTCTTTATAACTCCACCATTACTACAAGCAAGCATTAGCTCCTCTGGTTCTACAGCATCTTATTTTACAATGGTTGTTGAAACTAGGCACTGACAAAAACTTCAATTGATAGACTAACAAGAAAATCAATGGATTAATAATGTGAATTTTTGTGCGAAAAAACGTGAAATCACAAACTTTAAGATTGTATTCTTCAAGTTATACTGATCCAGAAGGCTAACATGTTGGGGAAGGCCATTTTCTAGCTAAGCGGATAGCATATCTATTGCTCATTTCCGCTGCAGTGGCGTTATTAGATCCAGCATGAGTTTGGCTAATTTTATTTGAAGTTTGAAGTTAAAAGTCAAAGCATTGTAAAAAAGTATAGACCCTACGTCACTACAAAACTACAATATTCAGGGGAATTTCGTCGAAAATTTTTTCCATCCAGCTCGGTACTACTAGTAGATCTTGTATACCCTCATAAAGGGGTTGTCTTATCAGGGATTGGTATACGTTAATCGAGCCCAACTCAGACAGGTACCATACTCTAGTGAAAACAATTGGTAATCATCTCATGTCGCCCTGTTTCAACCTAGAATAAATCCTGTTACTTACTCTGAGTTGGTCATGAATCGGATAGATTGGTAGGTAACAGCTCAGTTCAATGATCGAACAGAATAGAGAGCTCATTCAAGCGACGTTGGATTCCGAAAAGGAGAAAAACAAAGGGAAGCAGAGCCAGGCTGAGTGTATATGTATTTCCATGGATGAACTGAGAGGTGGACGGCATTTCACCGTCCGGTAGCCATATGGCACAAAGCTGCCTCCAGCCTACCGGAAATTATATCCCGGCAGCGCCTACTGGGATGAACGTGGGAGGCCGGGGGAAAGGGTGATTAACTGATTATGGCCTGTACTCGCAATTTCAAGGGCGAAGGATTCTAGAGAAAATGTTCTTCACAGTCAATTGGCTATTTTACGTCCTACGTTAAAACCCAGAGGCTGATTTAAGATGACGCACTGTGCGTCCGGTCTTGAGAGGCAAGGAGTCCCACATCACAAGGGTTCCAGGGTAGAGACGATTTATGTTTGTCTTTTAAGAATCATAGTACTAGTACTATCTCGGCAAAAACTGACCTATTCTTCTAGGCCTTCAAAGCTTCAAGTTGCGTAACTTGTGGTTACAAACGAACAAAACTGGGAACACTGGGAAAATTTGGGATGTTCATTCCGAATACAGCCATCAAAAAATGCTAAATAACCGCGAAACCCCGAAAGTCGAAAAATAGGAGTTTTGTGACCGTCAATCTCAGCGAAAAATTGTCATTATATTTGTGATTACGCCCCCGAGGAGCGGGTATTGAAATAAGACAGCACAAAGTGCCTTCTATTACCAGAAACGACCAATGTGAGAGTGAAACAGCAAGGTGTCTCCTGCAGCTATATCTAGTTTCTACAACAGCTAGTAGACCGTATTTACTATATTCTGGTAATAGATGGCAGTTTGTGCTGTGTTATTAGGATAGAGGATAGTTGCTCGGCTTCTCTTCATTGAGATACCTGAGACCAAGTCTAGATCATGCTGAATAGTTGCCAAACAGCACTAGTCCGAGGTTAACGGACGAAAGATGTAATACTAAGAACAGGTGTTGGTTGAGATTGCAAAAACGCCAGAATTTTTGAAATTCAAAAGTTCTCAACGCAAAACTTCTATTTTTCCACCTGTATTTACAGGTGAACGAAACTGGTTAATTTATGGACGCAAATTTAAAAAAAATCGTCAAAAATATAGTGTCGCCATGTATAGTAGGAAACTAGAACTATTAGGGCCGTCAGCCGATCTCACTCTCAGTGAAGAATTCGTGATTTTCGAACCCAATTTACCCTGAAGTTAGGTTCTGATCGAGACTGCAAAATGCTCTAGAATTTTAAAAATTTTTCTTCAATACCTTTGAACTTTGAAGTTTCACAATGCAAAATTTCCATTTTTCTAACCTGCCGTTACAAGCGATTGAAACTCGGCGCACAAACGTATTTTCATCCATTTCTCAATTTTCATCAGCGGTTTTCGTTCTGCCAAGGGGTTCCTTCAGCAGTATCCCCGACTTTTAGGGGGCCCTGCAAAGGTTTCTGCTTCGGACCCGGGAGACCTCAAATCCGCCACTGTTATAACATGTCCTAAAGATTACTAGACGTACGGGGACCCTGGTGTCAGTGGAATATGGATATTGGCAATTTATTCATACATTCACGGGACAAGCCCTATTTTACAATGTTATTCAATTTAAATTAATATGTTAACTAAATTTACTAAATATTAATAAAATAATGTCCACATAACTAAAATTTAACACAGTCAAAGTATTAAGAATAAAGTAAAAGGTAAGGTAACATTTATTAAGGTTTGTTTGAGGGAATCATGGGATATATGAAAAATATCGACATGAAATTTGTTTGCATTTTTCAACATATTATTTAGGGGTGAGTGTTGACCGTATAGGGTGCGATGTTGAGCAAGGTTGAATGAATTCTGGTCTCTGAGCGCCCTAGGAGGAGCATTAAGATTTATCATGCCCACGGGACTCTTCATTAGTCCGGTAATAATTTTGTGTCAAAATTTTCTCTACGCTTGGAGAGACTGTTAAGTTTTAGTTCAGATTTGATTGTAGGAGTTTCACACACTAGCAGACCCTTCTAAATGAGATCTGACAAGAGGTGTATATAATAGTTTTATAGAAAAAATGTCTGTGAACCCTCTAGTATTTCTCTGCATGAAACCCCACATCCTCAAAGCCTTCCTGCAGCAACTTTCTATATGTTGAGCAAAGGTTAACTTTGAATCAAAAATTACTCCCAGATCTCTAATCGACTTAACATTTTTTAAGATAGCCCTATCAACAGAATAAGTATACTAAGTGACATATAAATCCGAACACCCAGTTTAAATGGTTTTATTTTAATAAAAGTTGGTGAATGTATTTATCTTACTGTAAATAATAAGTGAAAAAATTTTCAGCCTTATCAGTTGGACATTCCGGTTTTTATACTGCTTTTTTTTAATTCATGAACGCTCTAAAAATGAATATTTCAGCCGCAGTAAAGAATCAACGTTGGCTGATTTGGGTTCTTGACATCCTTTACGATCGGTTACGATGCCTAGAGTACGGAGAACTGAACGATTTCGTCAACTTAGTGAGTTTGATAGGGGCCGTATAGTGGGACTTCGGGAAGCTGGACTTTCTTTTCGGGCAATTGCAGTTAGAGTGCAAAGAAGTGTAGATAGACACTGGGTTAGGTGTTGTCAGGCATGGCTTCGAGAAGGCCGTACGCAAAGAGCAAGGGACACTGGACGCCGCCGTAGAACAACAGACCGTGAAGATCGCCGCCTAAGATTATTGGCCTTAAGGGACCGTTTCTCCACTACCAGGTCCAGGTTTGCAAAACACGGAAGACCTATTGGCATGCGAAGTGTTTACCGACGAATGAGAAGTTTTGGCTTGTTTTCATACCGGCCACACTGGGTCCTCCCTTTAACTCGAGAACACCGACGTAATCGCCTTGAGTGGTGCAGACAACGGTCACTCTGGGATCAGGAATGGAACAGTATTGACTTTAGTGACGAGTCTCGATTTTGTTTAGGCATGCACGATGGTCGTGCCAGGGTTAGAAGGCGACGTGGTGAAAGGAGGAATCCACGGTTTTTTGTTGAAAGACATGTTCATCACACTGTTGGAGTTATGGTTTTGGGGTGCTATAGCTTATGGTTCCAGGTCACCTTTAATCTTCATCAGAGGTAACATGAACGCGCAGCGTTATATCCACGAAGTTCTAGAACCCCAGCTTTTACCCTATCTTGACACCCTGGCAGATCCAACTTTCCAACAAGATAATGCCCGACCACATGTTGCAAGAGTCACAATAGACTTCTTTCAACATAATGATGTCACATTGTTACCATGGCCACCAAGATCTCCCGACTTATCCCCAATTGAGCACGTGTGGGATATGATGGGTAGGAGATTGCTCAATTTGCAACGTCCTCCTCAGACTCTAGAAGCACTTCGAGAGGAGTTGGTGGTTGTCTGGAATGAGATACCACAGGAGGACATTGACCACCTGATCAGAAGCATGCCTAGGCGCGTTGGACAATGCGTAGCACATCAGGGTGCATCCACACATTATTAAAGGTCAAAGGGCTTTAAAGCAGTGCAATCATTTTGAAATTTTTATCATTTACTTATTATGCTTCATTAAGTACTTATACAAAATTTTATTAAAATAAAACCATTTAAACTGGGTGTTCGGATTTATATGTCACTTAGTATATTTTCTGATACGGTTAAAGATTTGCAGAACTGAATACACATTATGCGTGGAGGAATCCAGCGGAAGAGCTTTGATTCTTTTCCATGCCCTTTCCCTGAATATTGCCTGCTCATTTCTTACCCGAAGCATCATAGAATGTACGCTGAACATCAAGGTTTACTTTTACAACGTCGACTGTCTTAGAGGCTACATCACTTATAACCTTTCGTATTGATAGCTACTGGGTATTGTCCCTTATGAAATGCTTTAACACGCACGCGCATAGACGAGAAAAAACGCTAAGGGAGCCGTAGCAACATTGGTCATTCGCGCCTGTCACATGTAATGTGTAATGGAACAAACACAGCGGAAGAGTTTTCCGTCTTTCCCCTTCGCTTCTCTTCCTCTCAATGAGCGTGCACGTTTATCTTTTGGTAATTTGAATAAATGATTCCTGGATCTAACATCATGTGTGTCCACTGTGCTTTGACTTTAATCGACAAATAGACATGTAAAACAATTGTTAATGAAGTCTAGCTTGGATATTTTCAATATTCAAGTTTATTTATGGTAGTTCACGGAATATAGTACTATGATAAATATTGATAATCACTTGTTTGATAAACTGCAGTGTATACATAGTTGCGATATGCACAGGAGGTTTAAAATGTAGTTTTATACTTTTGCATACCTGCTGAACATGTTCCTTCATTCCAAGCCACTGTTTGTAGCTGATTGCAATGCCACTGTTCTTCCATTTGTCGTATAAACATTTCTTTTCTGGATTACACAGCGTTTCTTTGGCTTCCTATAAGAAAAAACGTAGCTAGTTTCACACTTTTCATACATTTTTAAAAGACTTGTCCTTAATCAGATCTAACATAAAGAAAAGCTTTTTTCTGTATTCCAATAACATTACATAAGCAGAAGGAACTAACCAACATAAGATTCAAGGAGTCTTAATCGAAAAATGCACAATATCTAAAATAACTAAACCGCAACTAATCACAACAAAAACATTTGTTACCTCGAATGGATTTTGCACCAAATCTGATTAGAATTATTTGTTTTAATTAATTTCAGAATTATCCTTCATTTTCACCGATGGTGATAAAGTCAACACATCCTGAGTTATTGTTACATTTTGCGACCTCGCTGCGGTCGGAACATGTAACAAATAACGTTTCGCAACACAAATTATCACTGCCTGCTTTTTCGAAGGTAAAAGCCATTTCGAAGAAGAGCGACACCCCCTAGGAGCGCTAGATGGGCACTGACCAAAATCGCTCGACTATGATCATGCAGGTGGAAACCTTGCCTTAAAATATACAAGATGAGGCGTTATCAAATGAACCAATGGCGCAATGTTGCAGAATTTTTGGCGATCCTGACCTTTCATTTTGAACTAAAATGGAGCGTCATTAGCACGGATCGGGAATCAATCCTAAACAGATTCAACACAATTCACAATTTAAAAATGTGTACACTCAAAATAAAACATTATTTGGACGTAAAGAATAAATGAACGCCTAATTTCACTATGTATCTTAATTCAAGGAACTGGTGTAACATATCGGCAATGCGGCAGATTGCGGCGTCCGATGACGAGCTTTGCTATCGAGGCGGCTCCTATCGCTTTCTAACATATGTGTCTGTCGATACTTCTCTCTCGTGCACATTGAAACCAGTTCGTCAAACATAGGTTCTCAATTAATATGGTTTATGTAAAGCCATCAATAGACCGTTTTCTGACCCACCTATTCACCTCAACCAAAATACACGCGATTTCGTAGGAAAAGATGAGAAAGAGCGATGGACCGATAGCGCCAATATATCGGCCGATTATCGGTATTGGCGAAAATCATATATCGGCCAATATCTAGTAAATACCAAATTTTATTCGAGTGTTAGTTCGGTTTCCTTCCATTATGATATTAAGAAGTTCTGCTGTAGTCGGATTTTCCGCCCTCCGCCTCATTAGCTACAAGACGTCAATTAGCTTGCCCAGCTAAATTCGCCGCACCGTCAAACTTGATAAGTTTACGAACATTTCCTGAAAGCTTCCTTAACTTATATAATACCATTGCGCTGCTGAAACTTCTCACCTGATCGACGGTATCAAGTTTTGAATTTGATGCAGATATAGTGAATCACAAAATACTGGTGATAGGGAGGTATCGGTGTTTAGATCGTCGGCCCGTTTTTTTGCACATCCTAGTACCCAGGACCTACATGTTACACGATTTATAGATAGGACAATATGTCCTGATATGAACTGTAGCACCTGACGAAGATATCCAGGGGCAGTACCCAAATACGTGAAACTAAGTACCTCGTTGCTATACCATCGAATGCCTCTATACATTGTATAACACGTTACTTCACAGGCATTTTTTATGCTAGTGCAGTCATGCAGGCAGATGCCTAAATACCGCGGGGTATCGAGATTGCTATAAGGAAGTCATTTTTTAATCCGATTGAGAACTGGGAAAAGCCCCCTCAGGGAGATTGTTCCACAATCTTGAAACCTTGGGAACAAAGGAGCGGTCGTATCGGCCAGGTCAGGATGAGATGGGAAGCAGATGACCGACGAAGCTGTCTCACAGGCTCAACACGTGGCGGGATCATGAAGGAGAGCTCTGAGGAGCAAAGCTAATTGACATAGCGGTAGATGAGCAGCAGACCGCATGCAAGAAATGACACTAAATCGTCTTATTATCTCCAACGAAGTCGGACTAGGTAGAAGGAGTAAGTATACGATTTGTTCTAGCCCACAAGATAGTTAGTAGTCAGGATACATGTGCAAACTACAAGTCGATCAGGCCTAAGCCGCCTGCTAGGCAGTTGTTCATTTGATCTCACTTGCTTCTTTGAGCGCTCAATTCCAGTCTAAGGTTGGCTAACAAAATGTGATACCTAACACAACATTGAAAAACGCAAATCACTGGAGACAAAGGGCCAACCGGAAGTTTCACTTTTAGTCTTATCTACTTCTATTTTGGATCTGAAAGTTCTTACTTACTTACATACGTACTCACCTTCGCGTTATAAATAGTAACTTTACCTTTTGTCATTTTAGTGCGATGACATTCTGTGAAGCTAGAACGGCTCGACAACTCTTAGGGAAAACATTTTACGGGAAAAGGTTTTGAATAAAAGTTGTGAAATTTTCTCTCAACTATCCTTGGATTTGACCTTGACCTACTTTTGGTTCCGATGATGAAACGAGCGGAAGCTCTTACGTTCAAATGTGACCTTAAATGACCCTTATATTTAACCTTAAGTGATCTCTCAAGCTCAAACTACCACTAATGCTGGATATCGATAACTCTTCCTACAACTTTTATTCAAAGCATTAAGACCTAAAATGTATTTTAAATGAATTCTCAAAGAGTTATCGTGCCGTTTTGCTGCTTTTGTACACCCTAAATAATTTCCATATTATGTTCAACTGGGTATTTGCTTTTAGTCAAGGATCTGCTCGAATCTGCCATAGCTGCTGTTTGATGAAAACAATTTTCCGTATTGTACATCTTCCAAAAACACAAGCATCACGAATGAAGCCACAATTATTCATATGATGTAGCGTTAATAACAATAACTGATCAATTCATAACGCAATACAGATTCTGCTCTGCTGCCCGAGAGTACATTATTACAATTGTCTACTTGAATATATCTCTTCCAGAGAAAATAATGTACGCCTACTTTGTGAATTTGATAGGCATTGGCAAGCAAATCTACCCCATATTATGCACAACATCTACGTAATTTTGGCAATAATTACCGCCAACCTATTCGAATTCGTTGTTTATTTCATATTACCTTGTCTATTGTTCGCCTAGGCGTGACTCACTGCAAGACACACAAGTCAGAATTTTATAAGTTTCCGCCTGAAATATTATGCACGTACTGGGAACTAATGGATCCTATGTGTACTCGTACCAGAGTTTTCCATATCACTCCGAGACCCTTCAGCTCCCTAGATTCACATGCATGCCTTTTTTTCCGAGAATACCTGTATACAAAATCCTCTTCGACCAGCATTGCAGTAGCATATCCATCACCATATTTCATTTTGATGAACTGGACATATCCAGGTTTTTGAGGAAAAGCATAATCTCCGTATTCAGGCAACAAAATCGATAGAAGCTACTATGATAGAAGCTACATGAAAGCAGCACCATGTAATAAAATGTTCAGAATGCACTCATTTGTTCTTTTTGCTGTACATGTACACGGTATATGGAAATAGACCAAATGGAAACTGATGCATAATTGAAAAGTCTGCGCTTACATGCAAGAGATATGTGGAAAATGTGACGTACATATATAGTGGATAAATGCTGACAATGGTTTTGTTTTTTCGCTAATGACGTAAATTATGGTAATGGATTGCCCGTGCGATTTTTTAGGTGACACTTTATTTTTCGTTTTTAAATGCGAGGGCTTTTCAACAAGGAGGGATAAATGTTGAAACGGCATATGGGTGAATAACAGGTATTTGGGTTTTTAGTGGTACCTAAGAAAAATTACTTATTTCAGTTTCATATTCATTATCTCTTAAGATTATACTATTTGTGATGCATCTTTGACAGGACCAGATAGTTTTTTGATTTTTAGAGATTTTACAGCTACCAGGGGAAAATGTGTAGTCAGGGGAGTGACACTATACACCGGGTAGTGACAAACTGAGACAGAAGAGTTACAACTTCTCATGTGAATGATCTTAAAGGACACTTGATAAAAGAATATAAATACCAATAGGTAAATAAGTTCAATAGTTTTTTATTGAAAATAACAAAATCCTACATGTTCCACTAGTCTCTTAAAAAATAACATTTGGATCAACTGAGCGAACCATGCCCACACCACTATAGCTGTTTATATCTTGCAACTTAATATAGATAGCAATGTAGGTACCTGAGTAATAATAATAATAATAATAATAATAATAATAATATAAATAAAATTATAAAAACAAAAAATTGACATAATACTTATGGTCAGTCTTTGAATCGCAATCAGTGCTTATAAATAAAAAACGGTAGCTAGCATAAAAATAAAATTAACATAGGTATAACCCGATTTTTTATGAATTCGAGTAGATAGGTACTCATTTTTCGAATACAGGTATAGGAGTTCTGAATTTATAAAATAATCTATTTAATCTCATTACTATATTTGGCACCGGCAGTCTTTCTAATACTTTTCCAACTTTATGTCGGAAATGTCATGCGATAGCAACATAAGTAATTTAGCATTGCTTGAAAACTCATAAAGTCTATAATTTTCGTTCTTCTTAAAGAGAGCAAAATCAACTCCATATTTGCATAAGTTACACACAAGCATGTTTCTCTTCTATGAACATTTGGATATGCAATCCAAAAAGGTCTCAAACGACAAAATGAAGTATAACTTATCGACACTCCTTTGGTTCTAACAAACCGTTCGTGTAAATGCTTCATTGAGTCTAGTAAAACCCTCTTTTGTTTTTTTACTTTGTTTTTCGTAATGTAGTTATTTTTTCCTGCGCATTAGCGACTGTTGCAGTCTCCTTCAAAAAACTTTTTAATTACGTTCTTTATCTTCTCTCTAGTTTCATTCATTCTTGTTCTCCTTGTCACGTCTATCAAACCTCTCCCTCAGTGGGTAATCGTTTCACAGGCTTCATATCAATTTGACTTAAAACATTATAGTTTCTAACAAACCTACCGCTCAATATTTTACGAAACAGTGTTTTTTTTTTTTAGTAATCGGTCCACTTTCGACTTTGGTGACATTTTTAGACTTCTTACGTGATCTAGT